CAACGCAGACACAATAAAACGTCCACACTGCACAGCCTCACGCCGTCTTCGAGCGGTGTTCACGGCAAGATTTCAGAAGGAAGAAGAGCGTGCACCCTGGACGCCGTAGGACACGCCCCTCTGCTGCAGGAAAAGAGCATAGTCATTGGTGAGTGGCGGCGGGGACCCCCACCTTGCTCTGCAAGTCTCCACCTCACGATGGTTCTCGAACTCTTCATGCAGAATTCAGACCTATGAAAGTCTTTCCAGTCAAAGAAGATGGGACACAGCAAGAAGTCACCCCATCGTGTTCTTCTTGCAGAAATAAGATAGAGACACGAGAAAAAAAAATGGAAAGTTAGTTTCAAGCGGGAAAGGCTAACTCTAGGCAGGGAAACGTAAAATTGTATTTGAGTTGGAAGGGTCCTTACATTTAATGCAACCCAACGCTTGCATTGTATGCATGAGGAAACTGAGGCTAAGGAAGGTAAACAATGTCACACAGTTTATGAACAGGGTGAATGTGGAGGGCGCTTCTGCACGGGGGTCCTTCCACACGTCCCAGATCTAACCCCCGGACTCAGCCGCTGCGGCCTTTCTCAGTCACGTCCTGGGAAGTGGATTTGGACTGCAGTGTTGAGAATAATTGGTACTTACGAGCTGAGTGACTGGATAAAGGTTACTCCATGTCTTAGGCCTCAGTTTACCCCTGGAAGGAAGGGAGGTCACTGTCTCTGTGTCAGGAACCCGGGAGCCTGGCATGCAATGCGTCTGAGCCTCCTGGGAGGGACGGGAGAACACGCCTTCCATCCAGCCCCGTGCTCTCCTGATCTCTACCTGCGTTGTAAAGTACTTCATGGGGAGGGGGCGCAAACTGCACACTTTTTAAAATCAGGCTTTAAGTTCTGAGGCGTGTGTGCAGATCGTGCAGGATCGTTACACGGGTGTACACGTGCCATGGTGGTTTGCCGCATCCATCCCCCGTCATCTACATTAGGTATTTCCCCCGATCCCCCCACCCCAAGCTCTCCCTGCCCTAGCCCTCCATCCCCCAACAGGCCCCGGTGTGTGACGTTCCCCTCCCTGTGTCCGTGTGTTCTCATTGCTCAACACCCACTGAGGAGTGAGAACATGCGGTGTTTGGTTTTCTGCTCTTGAGTCAGTTTGCTGAGCATGATGGTTTCCAGCTTCATCCATGTCCCTGCCAAGGACAAGAACTCATCCTTTTTTAGGGCTGCGTAGTATTCCATGGTGTATATGTGCCCTATTTTCTTTATCCAGTCTATCATTGATGGGCATTTGGGTTAGTTTCAAGTCTTTGCTGTTGTAAACAGTGCAGCAATAAACATATATATGCATGTGTCTTTATAATAGAACAATTTATAATCCTTTGGGTATATACCCAGTAATGGGATTGTCGGGTCAGATGGTGTTTCTATTTCTAGGTCCTCGAGGATTCACCGCACTGTCTTCCACAGTGGTTGAACTAATTTATACTCCCACCCACAGTTTATTAATGGGAATAGAAAGAGGAGATAAGGGGAGAAAGGGCAAAGAAGAAGGTAAGAGGTGCTGCGGGCCAGTCGCTCTTTGTCTTACTGTGTGTATAGAATGAAACGGCCCATTCAGAAATTGTTAGTGGAGGATCCTGTCATTCAAAGTATTTTTGATGTATGGAGTAACATTGGTAAAACTCTTCCAGTTTTCTGAGTTTTAATTTCTCTGTTACACTTTAGATTGAACAGAGAAGCAAAAAAGTTTGGAAAATTTTGGATTCTTTCCAACCTTGGAACGGAGCTTTTCTAGAGAATATTGCTTAGGGTGACGTCGTCGATGGATTGGCGGGCCCTGGACGTGCTTGGGAGGACATGTTCATCCTTGTCTTCTCATTCCTTCCTCCAGTAAACCAGTATCCAAAGAAAGAAGGGAGTGAAACTTACAAATGCCCACATGTGCCTCCCTGGCCGTTCTCACATACTGAATTTTGAAGTCTCGAGTGTGTTCTCTGTGCAGGTAGAGCCATTACGCGTTTTAGTTAGAAATCGTGCTTGGGCCCGGATCCTGCCAGGATGGCAGGAGGGCAGCTGTCGGCTCACAGTCTGCTCTGCGAGGATGCTTTTAACTTGCTGCTCCTGTGACCTGTCTGCCCGGCTCACGCTGTACCTCACTGAGGTCTTGGCTGCTCTGTGGCCTTCCACATGGCCAGCACCTGTACACCCCAGCAGCCTTGCCTCTCCCTCACCGCTCTATCGGTCTGGATGGGCTTCTCTTACAAAGTGCTCTGGATGCTTCTAACCCAGGGCATGTGGTTCACGTGAGTCAGCGAAACTCTGCTCCACACAGTCTCTCAGGGCCTAAATGGCTGAGCAGGTCCCACGTGGCATTTCCAGGACCCTCCCAAGAGTGGCACATACCACATGACTTGAACTTCACCTGTGGGTGATGCGACCCCACCCAGCCCCAAAAGGGAAGCAGTTCTGTCACGTGCCTGCAAGCAGGGAAGCTGTGGCATTTGGCAGATGGCGCCACTGACTACCGGGATTTGTATCCAGACACCGACTATTAGTCTCTCTCTTTCTCATCAGAGAAAAGTACACTTCTCCAATCTTCAGGGGAAGCAACCCCAAAGGTCAGCCTGGTCCCAGGCGGAGATCAACGTTCTGTACACATGGATATGCCTGTCCTGGGAGAGACATCAAGTCCAGGGGTGGTTTTCTTTGATCACCAAGCTGTACACTGAGAAGACCGATCTGACCTCCCTCTGGCTGCACACGTGCAGTGCGTGGACTCAGGTGGAAAAGGGCCAGCCTGCAGCCCCACTGGGCAGGTCCCGACGGGCGGGGTTCGTCTTAGGTTCAGCTCTGACTCTTTTCTGAGGGTGGGGCTCCTGAGGTCTGTGCTTCTCCGTGACTCTTGTCCCCGTTGTCTGGGAATGTATTCTTTTTCCATGAACCATTTTTTGCCCTGGTAAAGTGGGCGTTGGAGATACACCTCCTTTGGGATCCGGGTTCTTCCAGGCTGCCGTTTGCCCGTGAAAGGCAGGAGGCAAAGGTGCCCTTCCATCTCAGGGAGTCATCGTTCTTCCTGACGGGAAGAACCCCCTTAACGCGGAACCAGCTTCCCATGTGCACGCTGCGTTCTGAGTTCTTTTCTCCGTGCGGTGCCAGGAGCTGCTGTGCGTCTTTCCTTCCGCAGGCCAGCCCCTCTCCCTCTCCCCGGCTGCTTTCTGACCCTTTCTCTCTGAAGTGTAGGTCACTGGGCCCTGGCAGCCTCCAGTGGAAGGGCCACACCTTAGTCTTTTCTCCCTGAGCCATGTTTGCAGAATTAAGGACCTTACTGGGTGGCAACCTAATCCACTGAGAGGCTTCAGCAGTGGGTGTGACTACGGCCACCACGCTGCTTCAGGAGGCTGTGGACTACCAGCACCCCGGGGTGCTCTGCTGTAGAGATGAGGATGAGAGACCCTTGAGAGGCTCCATCCTCCCAGCCCTGCCAGACCCCAAGTGTGCTTTATAACAGCTTTCCAGCCACCGGGTTCTTTGTGGAGATAATGTCCTTCCTGTGGTAACTTACCGAGCACAGAGAAGAGTGGCCAGCGCATGCTCATTACCGCTCCTTTTCCAACCTCTGCCCAGAGAGCTACCGCTCCTCACACGGGTTCTGCTGCCCATGCCTGACGGCAGGCGTCTGGCCTCCAGGCCCACGTTCCCGAGCTCTAAGCATCCGTGTGCCTGCTTTGGTTTCATGTCACCGCTCTCTGAACCCCATTTTCGTAACATTCAGCACGTGCGAGGTCACTGTGCGGTTGTGGGTCCAGAGTCTGTCAGTGATGGGCACATGCCCACGTTTTGGAAGGTGGGAACGAGGCTGAGGCCGTTGATCCCCAAGGGCGCATTCAGGCTGTGGCAGACCAGGGCTGACACGGACCGCGGCGGTTGTGAGGGATGGCGGAGACAGGGAAATGGGAGAAGACAAGGGTGCATGTGGCGGGGACCGGGCCAAGGCGGGCAGAGAGGCAGGCCAGCGCCCCGAGCTCGGGAGGCCCACACCGTTTCCTGGTGAACAACACAGAGCAGGAATGGGACAGGGTCCAGGGGAGACGAGGGAATGGTGCGTTAGGCGGGTGGTCTACAGCTAGGGTGGCTCGGCGTTTCTTTTGAGGCATATAGAACAAATTTCATTTTAGATGTGATTATTAAACAGGTTAGAGGGGTCGTGGATAGGAGCCGGCACATCTGCTTGCATTCCTGTGCGTTTGAGAGGTGTTCTTTCTGGGAGGATGGAGCAGGGCATTTTATACACTTTTTTTTTTTTTTAAACACCAGATAAGCAGGTTGTGCCACGACCTTCCTTCCAGCACAGGCAGGCACACGGACTTGGGAGGGGCTGTCTGGCTGCTGAGATGCCGCCCGTGACTGGCCATGGCCGCTGAGCCTCGGGGGGCTCCTGGGGAAGCGCCCTGAGAACCTGCTCCCAGCCGCGGCTTCCCTGCCTGTTCCGTAGTTCTGCCCGGGCCGGACGTCCTGGACACCTTCTGTTTGCTTAGTGACACAGCAGCCTGCTTTCGTGCGTGGGTCGCTCGCTCTGTGCCTGGAACTGAGGGCGCTCACTTGAATGACTTCCTTTTATCTTCCCAACACCAGTTAGGAAGTGGACACTATTAGTTTCCTCCTTTTACAGATCTGAGAACGGAGGCTGCCACGGGCCTGCTGCCTGTCCGGGCTTGGACCTGTGAGCCCGGGGTTTGCTGCCACACACTGGAGTCGATTCCACGGTCGCTGTTAGCCCTCTTCCACACTTCATATACTTGTTACATCTTAGATTGACATTATGTCATGTCATGTGACTGCAATGCTGATGAATGATGTTGGTCCTCATTCACTGAGTGTTGGCCACGTTGAACCAGCCTCTATCAGAAAGAGAACTGGGGAGGTGGAAACATCAACGTTTGACAAAGAGCACAGATCATACACAGCAGTCACTAACAGAGCGGCCTTGTCTCTCCCTCTGCTCTGTTTCAGGAATACCAAATCGACATATTTTTTGCTCAGACCTGGACAGACAGTCGCCTTCGGTTCAACAGCACGATGAAAATTCTGACTCTGAACAGCAACATGGTGGGGCTGATCTGGCTTCCAGACACCATCTTCCGCAATTCTAAGACCGCCGAGGCCCACTGGATCACCACACCCAACCAGCTCCTCCGGATCTGGAACGACGGCAAGATCCTTTACACTTTGAGGTGAGATTGCGTGTCCATCTTTGATTACTTCTGCTTTAAATCTGGATCCTTAATTTGAATCGTTGCAGAAACGAGGCTCCGTTTTCATCTCTAAGTCTGTTCTTTTTCACGCGTGACACGCTGCAGCACCCCGAGAAAGGGTGCCCTCATGCCACGTGTGTAAAAATAGAGGCATACAAATGACCCACAGAGCATACCCACTCACTCCTTCGGAGTCTGTTGCTGCCGGAAGTAGGCTGTGAACGCTGTTCTTAATAGGCGTGCACCGTGGGCCCTCTCCCTAGGAAAATACAGATGTCTTGGCGCAGTCACCAACCAATGTAGTCAGAGTGAACTGAGACCACGAGGAACAGGGGCAGAGCAGGTGCCTCCCAGCATGTGCCTGAGGGAAGTGGCAGCTCCCTTGGACTGAGCCCTCCTGGAAGCAGGGGATCTGTGAAGAAACCCAGAGCAGTAAGGGAAACTGAGCTTCCCGGCCCAGCGGGGTGCGTGCTGGGTGAGGGATGCCTAGCCTGGTGCTGCTCTGTCAAACAGCCGAGCGACTGATCACAGCGTCCCTGCACACACAGAAGACTGACGATGGCTTCGGTCTGGGTCCCCCACCCCAGGTGTTTTCAGCCTAGACATTGTCACATAGGAGCTGTGTCATAAAACGGGTGCCAGTGCTGTGTGCTGTGTGTTCAGTGAGACTCTGCCCGTCCTGGTCTCTCAGCTGCGAGGCTCAGAGTCTCACTGAACACACAGCCCGCAGCACGGAGACTGGACGGTCCCTCCAGCAGGGTCCTCAGAGCAGTGGCACTGCCCCCGTGGGCACCGAGCCTGCTCTTCGTGACAGCTCAGGGCCCTGGGTGCACCTCACGGGCTCGCTCTCACTGCCCCGGGACACAGGGCTCCCTCGCCCGCCTGCTCTGCACCCCCGTCTCCCCACTCTGCCCTTTCTGCCCGAGGACTTGGCCCGTCCCTTTCCCCTCCTTACCCGTTCCTGCTGGCTCAGCGTATCCATCCCAGGAGTGAGAGCGGCGAAGGCGGGTTCGTCACGTGTCCACGGCACTCGCACAGGCACAGATGGACACAAAAACATGCAGATGGTGAGAGAGCGTTGACGTTTCAGGGAAATCCTCGTTTTGCCAGCCAGGGAGCAGTGACGGCACAGAAGCCACAGCTGGGCAGCGTGCTGACGACGTACGCTGGGAGCTGGCGTCTGTCGAAGCTGCTCCTCGTGAGTGGTAAAGCCGTGCACAGGAGACTGAGGTCACACGGAGCCTCCGCGAGCCAGTCCTGGGGCCCCGCGTGGACGCCGAAGCTTGGGGCTGCTGCAGCCCTGGGAGGATGTGGGACCCCCAGCTGGCAGAGCCACCACCTGCCTAGTGACATAGGGGGCAGTCACCCAAACAGGAAATACCCCCCCACGTGGATTAGTTTGGCAAAATAGCTGTTTAGATAAACACAAAAGTTTCCAAACGGAGGAAGGGTTTAATTCCAACAGATTGAAAACCACGGCTTAGAAAACAACAGTGGGTTTTATCCTCTCTGACTTGGCGTGCATTTCTAGACACAGTTGCAATTTTACTAACTGGAATTGTCTGTGCCACTGATCGTTAAAAGCCACACAAAATAACCCAGCATGAACAGCACCCTGGCCGGGAGCGAGCCGGCGTGCCCTCCTGGGTGACGGAGCGGCCCTCGCCATCCCCACACTGGTGCCCTGGCGGCCGGCGGCCTTGCCCTGTGCTGGGTGCTGCCCTGGACTGACACCTGGCTCTTCCGCAGGCTCACCATCAACGCCGAGTGCCAGCTGCAGCTGCACAACTTCCCCATGGACGAGCACTCTTGCCCGCTGATTTTCTCCAGCTGTGAGTACCAGCCGGCACGGGGGGTGCGTGCCGGGCGAGGGGTGCCGGGCTCGGGGGCGTGTGCCGGGTGAGGGGTGCCGGGCCCGGGGGGTGCATGCCAGGGCGAGGGGTGCCGGGCTCGGGGGCGCGTGCCGGGTGAGGGGTGCCGGGCCCGGGGGGTTCATGCCAGGTGAGGGGTGCCGGGCTCGGGGGCGCGTGCTGGGTGAGGGGTGCCGGGCCCGGGGTGTTTATGCCAGGGTGAGGGGTGCCGGGCCCGGGGGTGCGTGCCGGGTGAGGGGTGCCGGGCCCGGGGGGTTCATGCCGGGTGAGGGGTGCCGGGTGAGGGGGTGCGTGCCGGGTGAGGGGTGCCGGGCCCGGTGCGGCTTCTGTCAAACAGCTATGCGGTTGACCACAGTGTCCCTGCACACACACAGGAAACTGACGATGGTTTCGGTATCAGCCACTCGGGCGTTTTCATTCTAGACATTGTCATGTAGGAGCCGTGTTATAAAATAGGTGATCTCCATAAGGCTGTGAGCAGCTTGACCAGTTCAGAACATGGAAGGGTTCAGAAATCGATGAACAGGTGATTTACCAGACACCCTTATGCTCATGAGCTGTGCATACCATTTGGAAGTATACAAAACTCCTAGGTAATATTTTAGATTTAATGGTGTCTGTGTAAAATTTATTTTTATTTATTTACGGATTGAGACTGAGTTTTGCTCTTGTTGCTCAGGCTGGAGTGCAGTGGCACAGTCTCAGCTCACCGCAACCTCCGCCTCTGGGATTCAAGTGATTCTCCCGCCTCAGCCTCCCGAGGAGCTGGGATTACAGGAACGTGCCTCCACGCCCGGCTAATTTTTGTATTTTTAGTAGAGATGGGGTTTCACCATGTTGGTCAGGCTGATCTCAAACTCCTGACCTCAGGTGATCCACCCACCTCAAGCCTCCCAAAGTGCTGGGATTACAGGCATGAGCCACTCTTCCTGGCCAACTTAATGTTATCTTAAAGCAAGGCAATTTGTCTACTAAATAGAAAGATACAAATTTTTCTTCAATTTTACTTATATTTGTCTCATTGAATCATTGTAAGATGATTTAATTTTTCATAGTCTTTTATCTTCCAACATTTGATTTATGATAGATATCACAGTTAACAAGTAATCCTTTGCCTCTAGTGCTAAATATGAGTACATAGAAAGGAATATCAAATCTATTTATAAAATTTTTAAGTAAAAATCAAAATGGGAAGATATCTGGTGAATGAATTTACGATGGGGCATTTTAAGTGAATTAATCACAAGTGCTTATGTGTGATTTATAAGAACTCTGTTCATTGTGTTGGCTTTCTTTAAAATTGCATATGGAACATGACAAACGGATGAAATCTCGTGTAGAAGTTTCTGTGGCTTTCTTGACTGAGCGTTACGGATCTTTCCCTGAACCTTCAGACGGGCTGTGCCACGCAGTTCATCCCTTTGTTCCCTTTGGCTTCTGCTCTTGCATGTGTGGGGCCCGTGGAGGCTGGTCCTGGTCCGCAGAGACCGTCACAGCCCCGCACACCATGCAGGCGTTCTCATTGGAACCTTCTTTTTCTACTCGCTTCCCTTGTTCTGTCTCGCTGTAAAATGGTGTTTAAATCATTCACAGCGTCTTTTAAGTGCTCGGTTCCAGGAGGGGATTGTCTGCAAATGGGCTTACATAATACTGCCAGAAAGGAAAGCGCTTGTATTTTTAAAAGATTTTTTATAGAAATTAAATAATGTAAATTCTTAAAGACGTTTCACACATAATTTCTCAGGGAAGTACCTGAAGGTGAAGGTGTTTCTGAATTAGTTGGCAATGAGCATAAAGTACTAAGAAGAAACGCGGCATAGTAGTAAAAATGGTCTGTGAGACCAAAATCACTTCTGTTTCCCTGTTTCTGGTGTGTAAGATGATCCAGTCCCCCGATGAGTTGGTTCTGGGGCCCCGAGGTTAGGTTCACTGCCACTGAGTCTGATTCAGGCACAGGTTCACGGCAGTCTCATCTCTCCAAGCCACAGGTCTGTGCCAAGTGTTGGCTGGGGAAAGATTCTCCCTGCGTTGCAGGAGGACCATGCTCCCAGCAAGGTGCTCGGCGCCCCCCAGGCCGGTGCCATATGCGTTCTGTGGCCGGTTTCATCCGCTCCGGACAGCAAGGTGCCTGACCTAGACGGGACAGCTGCATTTATCAGTGTTGCCGTCGGGCTTTGCAATATTCGCTGGTCATGCGGAGGTACAAATAAACCAGCAAGTTATATTTTCAGGAGGCACCAATACATCCTTCCTTCCTGTTTGCAGACTGTGTAGAGTGCAGCCAGCTGTATTTCGTTCTAAACCCTTGTTGATGTGACCTGGGGAGAGAACCAAGCACTCTTGACTCTTCCAGATGCTTTGCATCTGGAGCGTATGCGTTAAAATAAGCCAGGTCATCTGGACATCTCCTTGTCTTCCACCTGCTGCCCAAGTGCACGGATGAGGCAGGCCCCTGCCAGGTGCCGCGTCCCAACAGGTGGGGCCTTCCCGGGCGTCTTTCGCTGTGGCAGAAAAGGATCACACTGATCCGAGAGCCCTGTCTCCTTGTTGCAGGAGTTCATCTCTACATGGCAGGCTCTGAAAGGTGTCTGCAGAGGTCCCGTGTCCTCTCATGTAGAGGTGAGAGGTCTGGACGTCTAAAAGGAGCCCACCTTCCCATGTGAGGAAGGTTCCCAGGGCCCCGGCCTATCAGATATGGGAACTTCAAGGTCCTAAATGCTCAAGCATCCTCTTGAACCCACAAACTCTGGACGTGGCTAGGGGGAGCTCTGTGGCACATCTGGCAGGCAGGTAGGAGTCCAGCAGCCTGGACCTGTGAGTGAGAATCAAGCTATGGCCCTGGGAACCAGGTTGCCCATCAGGGACCACGCCAGGCAGACCTCTGCCACAGGTGAGGTGGACTTTTGTCGTCTCTTGCTTTGCCTGTCCCATACACTCCGCCCCTTGCCTTCTCCCACCCCTCCCTGTCCTTGCTTCCCATTCTCTAGACTTGCACACCTTGTGGCGTGGGAGGCTGCTGGGTGCAGGTAGTCAGGCTGGCTCTGCATTCCTGCTAAGGTGACAGTGAAACAGCAGGGCTTTAGAATCGCTGCCCAGGCACCCGGCCCCCACCACCCCCAGTAACTGACATCCTCACTTTGCAAACCACTGGGGCACAGGATGGCACTGCCCCTTCTGCCCAGTCTTGAAGGTGGGTTAGATTATTCCAGCTTTAGGTGATGTGATTTGTCCAGAGAAGTTAAGAACAGGATCACAGCATTGATGAGAGACTAACTTCCGAGGCTGAGAAGAGGACTCTGTCTTGGAAGGTCACAGCCTTCTCACTCCACTCAGGCGACCCTGCCTGCCTTGTAACCGGGCACCTGGAGGCACTGTGCCCCTTTCTCAAGCATCCCACAGCCGATGCTTGAGGGATGGGGTGCTGGGGCAGGAAGCTGGGGAGGTGAACGGTGAGGGTGACTTCCGGCCTCTCTCAGATTCCATCACACAGCAGTTTGCCCCTCCTCGTGAGTCAGGGAACCTTCTTCATCTCTCTAAACCTCCCTCTCCCCATCTGCAAGGTGGGAATGACAGCAAAGTACAAAACAATGGAACGGACTGTAGGTGCAGATGTTACAGATTCCCACTGAGTTATCCCAGAAGGCACTCAACCACGGGAGTGTTGTGGCCACGTGGCAGGAGCGGGTGTGTGGGACAATAGCACACTTTCTCCGTGGCCTCTGGAGTTCCCGAGGGAAGGAAAGCACAGTTGTGGTGGACACACTCTACCCAGGCCGGGCCTTCAAGGGTGGAGAAGGCAGCCAGACTCGCTCAGCCATCAGCCTTTCCTGCCGGGTCTCTTACTTCTCCGTTTTGAATAATCTACCCAACAATGTACCTGTGTCTGTGCAAAGATTGCTTCCAAATACCACACTCTCTGTTGAGTTAAAAAAGCAACAAGGAGTATGATCCACGCTCTCCTCTCCATAGTACAGAGGACCTGAGAGAGCGACAGAGAGTTCTTGGCTTTATGGAGACGTTCAGTCTATCAAAGGCAAATTCTGCACAAATAACAAGGTCAGAAAACCTTCATGTTTCTTACATCTTGCATAAAGAAAAAACTGAAGTCAATAAAAATGGAACAAAGGCTTCAGCAACAATTGTAATTCTGATCCCATGGTATCACCTCCTCGGCTTACAGAAGTCGGACACTTTCGGTTTTTCGTGCAATGTAATCCAAAAGGGCTGTCTTGCTCATGGGGCAGACAAACCCTGGAGAGTATACAAAAGAAACGTGCAAAGCAAGGACAACCTTGCCAGGAAGAAAAGAGCCCCGTGCCATATCTTTCATGGTTCCGTTGTGTGCTTTTGTGCAGTATTTGCTTTTTGAAAGCGGTTTTTTAAGAACAGAGACTCAATGATGTAAGCCTTTGTTTTAGTGTGTGTTTTGGAGGGAGAGAAGGGCAAGATGGCTGGGACCCTGTGCTGAGACTTCAGAGGCGTGAAAGCCTCTTTAAACTACTGACGAGCCAGCCAGGTCAGCAACCCTCCTGAGTATTTACTGCGTAGTTCAGGATTTTCGTTTTTTCTTGTTTTTAGATGTGGCTTCCCAGAATTAATTTTATCAGTGCGGTGGTGTAGGACAAGACATTTAATGGTGGGTTCCATTTTTCTGATAAAAACGTTATTTGCCTTTTTAAGTATTTTCTTCTTTTTTGCCCTACTCAAAGTCTTCATAGTTAGCATTATTTGGGGGTAGAGGGTAAAACAGCTAACCTCGAGCTGCTTTGTGTGTTTTTGCTGTAGTTCATGATACATGTATTCACTAAAATAGTTTAGCAAACTTTTAAAAACTTTCAAAATCAAGCTTGAACCAAGCTGAGTGTCAGGGAAGCCTTGGCTCGGCCCCATGGGGGCACCTGACCTTCATGGAGCTCACTGCTGGAATGTGCCGGAACGTCCTGGAATGTGTTGGAATGTGG